TCATCGTTGATAAGTGTAAATGGACCTAATTTGTTTTTAAATTTGAAAAAGGACAGACTCTGTGTGCGCGCGCGTGGGCACTGACAAGTGGAGGATTCAATTAATAAACGACGTAAGGGGTGTTTGGATGAAGCCAAACCATGGTTTGGAGAATAGCTTCTGGAGAATAGATTTTGGAGAGAATAGATTTTGAAAAAATAGATTGTCTGAAAAAGTGATTTTGATAAAGTGAGAGTGTTTGGATATTTATTGTCAGAAGTGTTTTTTTATATGTGGAAATTACTAAAAAGGATATAAGTTTAAATGATAATTACATATAAGATATATTTCATAATATATGCTTATTTGAAGTAATAAATTTGTTAATAATATATATTTTGGCAACATAATAAATAAGACATAAATAAAAAAATAAAAAAAATTAAAACGTATATATATTAATAAAATAAGTAAATATGTTTTTTGTAAAATAATTTACTTTGCCAACAAAAATATGATTAATTATTCCAGAAAATATGATTAACAAAACATATGTTTGTGGAAGTAGGATCCACGGACACCATATATTTTGCAAAGCACCACCAGTGAAAGCTGTAGCATGGAGCCTCGTAGAGCAAAGGAGGAAGGAAATAATTGATATTTGCGGGGCCCACCAACAGTCAATAATCAGCCTAGAAGCAGCTCCTCCGTCCCTTCTTTGAAACCAAGGTTTTGGGGGGCCAAAACCATGGTTTCCCCTAAAACCATGGTTTTAAATTTTTGATGGGTGTTTGGCAAATTTTTCTCCAAACCATGGTTTGGAGAGAGAGCCAAACACCCCCGTAGTGGAATGATGAAAGCTGAGCATAAATTAATGATGGCACATTATTAATAATTGATAATTATCTAAAATATTAATATTACCTCATGCGATGAGTATAAGAGTTATTTGGAGATTCAATTCAGTCCTAAATATTATACCCTAATCCGTTTTATCTCTCATATTTATTTATTTTTCTTCAAAATGGTCTCCATAGTGATTATATATATTAAAAGGTTTTCATTCTAATGTACATAATTCACGAAGATATTTTTGAAAAAACAATATCCCTTTGTTGTAAATAACTAACTTAACTAATTTTCTTAATTTTTAATAAATTAGTTATTTAACTTTTATACTATCTCCGGTCATTAATATAAGAGTTAATTGATTAATTTGAGTGGATTAATAAAATTAGTTAAGTTAGTTATTTGTAACAAATAGATGTTGTGTTTTTTAAAATATCTTTACTAATCAAGTATATTGGTTAAAACTACTATTATTATAAGGACTAACTGAAAAAAAATGAATAAATATAAGAGACAAAGTAAATTGGGGTCTTATATTTAGGACCAAAATAAAAGTTCTTATATTAAGGACCAGAGTAGTAATTTGGTAAGATCAACATTCAGTTTGTGTTATTAAGAAATTATCACAATTTAAGATAATTTATGTGAAAATTGTAATTTGTTTTAAGATTCTAGGTACTCCTCTGGTCCTATTTATAGGGCAGAGAGAAAAAAAAATTTTGTCCTATTTATAAGTCACGTCATTAAATTTTCAGTGTGAATGTACTATTTTGTCCTTCATTTATTATAGTGTAGGTAGTTATCTTTTTTGAAAAGTGTATATATTAAATATGAGTAAAGTTGAAAATTTGTTATATTTTAATGAAGAGTTAATGCATTTTAAGATTTTCTTTTATTTATATGAAATATACTGAAAATGTATAGGACCAGAGAAATACGTTATAATATAATTTTAACTATTATAGTTATTAGATCGGTGTTTTTAAATAATAAGTAAAAAAAAATATTGACAATGTAATGTATATACTACCTCTGTTCCTAATTATAAGACCTTGTTTATAATATATAAACGAGGCTTTATGACTAGGACCGGAGGTAGTATATGATATTTAGATATTTATATGTATGCCAAACACAATCAGCAGATGGGTATATTCCTTTTGCTAATTAAATAAGCAAGTCACAGACACATGAACATACAAAGATACGAAACAGAAAAAGAGGGAGATTTTTGTCGAGCAATATTATTATTGTTGTTGTTATTGTTAGGCTAATGTGGCCTCCATATGATGATATATAGTGGCATATTGGCAAATAAGTATTAATTAGTGAAGGAATCAATTAGTTGAGTTTTAATGTGTGTCATACCATATTAAATTGGAGTGTGCATTCCACACGAAAGCCACAGGCCCTTCAAATTTAATAGTTCATAATGAATAAAAATCCAAACTTGACACACCCCAATATGATTCTTTTTCATTTAGAATCTCTCTTTTTCAAATCTTAGTGATCCATCCATTAATTATATGTTGGTTTCCTTTAATTAGTTCATTTGTTTGGATTTTTCTTTTGCCATGTTCTGGGGATGTTGATGGCTAGGACCAGTAACTCGCTTTTAAAAAGCAGCAGCATCATTGTGCTGTCCTAGAACAAATACAGACAATTCATATTTTATCTTAATAACTTAAATCTGATTTGAATAAATATGCAAAGGTTGGTTTAGCTTGACAAGGATTTCATTCATAACTCATAAAGACACAAGTTCAACTTCTCTTACAGATTTAAAAATATAAACATATTTTTTAAAAGCAATCCCAAACACCCAGAGCTGAGTTTAGATTTGATGCTTCGCATCATCACCACACCCTGTGTTGCTGTTCCAAAGCAACCAAGAAACCTAATTTGAGAAAAATCAAATCAAATAAACTAATCCCTGAAAATAAAGCCATATCAAGGCAACGACCACTTTGGATGCTTTTGTGCAAATTAAATCAGAAAACAAATCAGAAAGGAATCTTGTATTAATTATCAAAGTGGCGTGTGCCGGCCACACTGGTGAATTAATATATTATCGCATTATATTATCCAAACCACAGGTCAATAAAGTTAATAACTTTCATTGTGAGTCATGGTTAATTAATTGATTCAATAGGATTCGTGGCCTAATTTGTTGAAAGAGACACTTCAAAGTTCCATCTTCAGTCTTGTACACACCACTATTTCCACCGTAGATTTCGCATTAGTCTAATCCCTCACTGCTTATAGTCCGGTCAAATAATTAATGGGAAAATTACACACAAGTCTCACAGAAGATATTTTATTCATCTAAGGTCCCACAAAATGTCAAAATTAATGACAAGTCCCAAGAGACCTTAGAGTAATATATTTTATTTGTAAAATGACATTACTGCCCATCACATTCCAAATTCACATTTGCTCTGTCATTGCGATTTACAACCTTAGCAGTGACTATTAACAACCCAATGAGAAGGTGTTAACAACTTAAGTAGTATCCGTTAACAACTTACTTTATAGGATTATATAACCTTCACATAAGAGTAAATTATAACCAAATAGTGTAATACAACAACTTTAATACTAAAATGGGAAGCTTTTCAAAGCCATTAAGAACTTTAACTAAATCTACTAGGATTATGGCAAAATTTTAATGCCAAGATTCATTGACAACTTCAACGGTAAGTATTAATAATCCAAGGAGAGCTGTTGACAGTCTAGGCAGTGTCTGTTAACAACTGACTTTATAGGATAATATAACCTCTAACAACTATATAAGATTAACTTTAACACTATTTAGTTATAATTTAGTTAGTTTAGTTAGTTATAGTTAGAGGTTATATTATCCTATAAAGTTAGTTGCTAACAAACACTGCTAAGGTTGTTAACAGTTCTCCTTAGGTTATTAATACTCACAGTTGAGGTTGTCAATGGATCTCTGCATTAAAATTTTGCTATAATCCTATTGGGTTTAGTTAAAATTCTTAATGATTTCAAAAAGCTTCCCATTTTAGTATTAAAGTTGTTATATTATATTATTTGGTTATAATTTACTCTTATATGGAAGTTATGTGATCCTATAAAGTAAATTGTTAACAGATACTACTTAGGTTGTTAACACCTTCTCATTGGGTTGTTAATAGTCGCTGCTGAGATTGTAAATTGCAATAACAGAGCAAATATGAATTTGGAATGTGAGGGACAGTAATGTCATTTTACAAATAGAATATATTATTCTAAGGTCTCTTGGGATCTATCAATAATTTTAACATTTCGTGGGACCTTAAATGAATAAAATCTCTTATGTGAAATCTGTACATAATTTTCCCATAATTAATTTGTTAATGTTAAAAAAAATTAATTAAGTTAGTTATTTGTAAGTAAATTAATTTCAGTAAAATAACCTCTTCAATTAGATACAAAGAGGTTATTAGTTATGAATTTATGACTAAACTCATCAATCACGAGATTTTTCCCTCGGAATTACACCAAACGGTTGACACTTAGTCAAATCCAAATTCTCTACGTTAAAATGTAAGTAATGCACATGATCCATAGTCAGAGAAATATCAGAGATAATGAGCATCTAAAATTATTTAATAAAAAAATATTTTAAAAAAAAGGCATACAATCCCCACACAAGTTTATTTCTTTCATATCATTCATGCTTGAATAGAGATCCAGTTTGCAAAACTCTACACCGTCCTCATGTTATCCAAACAAAAACATTATCAAGACCCTCCATTCCTCTACCAAATTTCCTCATCAGATCATTAATTATCCATTTACTCCCTTTATCCCTTATTATAAAATCTTTTTAACTAAATTATATGGTTTAAAAAAACAGTTAAAATTAGTTAAAAACAATTAATACGCAGCAAATATAATTTTTTTCAAATATACCCCTATATATGAATAGGCAAATGTGATAAAGTAATAGTAAGATAAATGAAGAAAAAAAATATATTAGATGCATTAAATTAAGAGTAAAATAGATAATAATAGATTAAATACTCAATCAAACTCAAAAAAAATCTTATAAAAAAAGACAGGCCTATTCAAAAAATTGAATCTTATAATAAGAGACGAAGTAGTACATCTTTCTCTCTCCAAAGTTTTCGAAGCAATTTACAGAGGAAATACCCCAACAGCTTAGCTCAAGTGAATCATACCACCATGCTTTAATTCCCATAACTTTATGTGGCATATCGAAAATTCAAACCCTAAGGACAAGGCAGTGCAACTTACTCCTCACACTTCATACAATATAAGAGAAAAAAATGCGTCTAGTTAATCATGAAGCAAAACTGTATAGTGGTTAATCCCTACAGAGTTCAGTCACTCAGAACACAAACTCTCACCTTCAGCAACATGACTCTTAAGTATAGTTTGTTCACTGGACATACAGACAAACAGTATAAGGGGGGAAAACAAAGGTTACTAGGGCAGAACATATATATATAAATATATATATATATATATATATATATATTCTAGGGTGACCACAGAACTTCCTTTCAGAATCACTGTATGGAGGTCAAGGAAAAGGCAGCACTCTCAAATCACGCTAGATCATTAGCCCATCTTGCAGAACATAATGGAAATTTTGGGCCCACAAAAGGATTAAAGGACGAGGCAGCAATCTCAAATCTCAATAGATCATGAGTCCATCTTGCAGAACAGAATGGGAATTTGGGACCATAAGTCAGGTTTGGAGTAAGACCACCTAATTGAATCGCGGCAAACAAGCTCAACAAACCACATGCATGAAGATAAAAAGTATGCCCAGCACATCTTTCCACCAGAGCCCATGCAGAAAACAAAGGTGTCATGATTACTGAATGAAGCTGCAGATGGCTTGCTGCAGCTGAAAGGTTTTAAATTTAGAAAATCATGCACATCCAATTAGCAATAAAGGACCACAAGGATGAATCCAAAACGACCACATTAAGCCAAGCATCCTGCCAAAATTTAATAACATTAATAAAGCACAAACGAAAAACTGCAATCTAACCAATTAGAAGGTAGGAGTGTGATAGAAATATATCAATAATTTACCCACTGGATTAGTTTAATTCAAAGATCCAGATATAGCATATCCAAACGGGAACTCTAAGCAAACTCCCAGATACGGACTTCCACCTTGGCCCTCGAAAAATCCATCCACTACCAAATAACTTTCCAATATACTGAAACTGGAAATCCAGCAGAAAATATGCCATACGCAATTCCCCATGCATGGAAACCACAACTCACAAGGTACCGAGCAGCATTTATCAATAGCATAGAGCACAACACCAATTTGGATAGCAAGTCAATCATGCATAAGATTTCAACGGACCCAATGGTCAGCATTTTTGGAACATAAATGGGTTTGATATATGTGCTGAGTATGGCACATCAAAACACTGTCATCATCGATCCCCAAACAAGAATCCCAGAACATGGCCATCGTAAAAGGCAGTTGAGGCAGCAAAAGCAACACATCCAAATTTTGCAGCTGCAAAAGTAAAATTGAAATTTCTATTAGCACAATACACCTTACAGAAAGAGAAACCGCCCAGAACAAGGAGAGTCCATTCACGTTGCATACCTCAATGAAGATTGTACACTATCCAGAACGAAAGCCTCCTGATCCTCGACGTTCATAAGGTCCAGCACGATCACGACGATCACTCCCAGATTCTCCGTGACTACCTGAGTCCCTGTTGCGCCCACCAGAATAACGATCTGCATTCCTATCAGGACCATAGTGACTACCACCACTACTCCTGCCACCATACCTACCTTCCCTGCCACCATACTTGCCCCCTCCTGCTCCTTCACTAGGGCACTCCCTGGCAAAATGACCAGGTTTACCACATTTAAAACATTCACCACCATTAGAGCTTCGACCACCTCCATAATCTCGGTTACGATCACGATCCCGATCACGACCCCTTTCACGGTAACGATCACCATCATCTCTAGCAGATGCTTGTTGAGGCTGAGCTTTATCAACAGTGATAGTTCGACCATCTAAATCCATGCCATTCATAGCCTCAATAGCCTCTTCCATTGCTTTCCTCTCATCAAACGTAACAAATCCAAAGCCACGAGAGCGCCCAGAGAATTTGTCCACAACCACCTACATCAAGGATATATTTAAAACTGTAACTGTGAGGAACGTATAACTAGAAAAGGGCTGAACCGCTGAATTACAACCACCCCCAAAGTTCAAAGAAAGAGTTATTAAAACTGATATGATTGTTCAATAAAGCCAAACCAAATCCATATTCTTGTTATAGTCACTATTTCACTATTGCAGCAAAAATAAAATTTGAAGCAAGATCATGAAATGTGGTTGTAACAACAGAAATTAGGATAAAGGATAATAGTGACATAGTAATGTGATAGAATTCAATACCTTTGCCTCAAGAAGTTTGCCAAACTTTTCAAATGTATCCTTCAGCTTCCTATCGGATGTTGACCATGCAAGGCCACCAATAAAGCAGCGGTACTCATCTGCTTCCGACATTTCAATCTACAAATTTTCCACGAAACAGGCATTGAAATAAAACTTTTGAATCAGTTATTTGATTCAAATAAGTGAAAGAAACCCATTTCACATCAATGAATCCTCTCATCTTCAAATAAGAAACAGGAAAATGAGAATCCACAAAAACAAGAGGGAACACAGCATTATAATTTATTATTACAAGATATATTTTTAAGTTTCACCATTTTTTACTGCAACACTTGCATCAGTAAGATACCTCAAAATGATCCCATTCATCTCGAAAGAAATGAGAGAAAATGCACATTATACAAATACAGTGCAAATTAATATGTAATTTCTCTTGTTGACAAAACTAACAAGAAATAATATGTTACAAGCTACAATAAAAAGTTAGCAGAAAATAGTACTCCCTCCGTTCCTTATTATAAGAGACGAATAACCGAATTACGTTGATAAAAAAACAGTTAAAATTAGTTAAGAACAATCAATGTGTAAAAGGTATAATTTTTTTTTCCAAAAAAGCCCTCATTAACAAGGAGAGAGAGCATGAGAGAGAATAATGGTAAATTATTCAAAGAAAGAGAAGTGGGAAGGAGAGAGAGTGTGAGTTGGAAACAATAAATATGGGTAAAATAGGAAATCAGTACAAAAAAATAGAGACAACTTTTAAGTGTCTCTTATATATAGGAACATGCCATAAGCATCAAATGTCTCTTATAATAAGGAACGGAGGGAGTAAAATTTAACTCAGTGAGGGGAAAAAGGAGAAAAAACTGTCTTGCTTATTGAATATGAATTAACCTTTTTTACCATTCTTCACACAAAGTTGAATCATGTCTGCAAACGTTAGTTCTCAGAGACCTGAAACTTCAGGTACCGCAGATTATGATAGATAAGATGCAGGGAAGCTCCTGATATTTAAAGTTGACAGCTGCTATTTGTCAAGATAGGAGACTAAACAACTAGACAGTTCGTATAAGTATACTTGAGGTCAGTTGTCATACAATCATAACAAGTTTCTTGAACCAAAGATATAAAATTATAAATAGCTTAGATGGAGGAAGATCTAACAGATTTCATTTGTCGCTATGATAAGTTAAAAGGCTACAGAGTTTATATTTATGCTTCAAGTAAGTTATTAGCTTCTGGGATCAAATAGTTTGAGGCAGACAATATGGCCAAAAGTTAAGACCAAAATGAAACATTGCAGTCGCAGGATTTTTAATGGGAGGATGTATTAGGTGTAAGACTTAATCAAGCAAAGCATAGAAGCGACGAATAAGGAAAGAATAGATAGAAACCCGCAATTTGAAATGATCTGACCAAAAAGAACTGGCATACAAGACTTAGACATTATGAAGATCTCCAAGTTAGAACTTGACACAGATGAGCGACCCTTGGACTGCTAGTTTCAAGTAGCACGTAATTGTTTCTCAGATTTATGCGAAGATTTCATTTTATGGTAAAAAAACAGACTATCAGTTATTAATGTCGATGGAGATGAAAATTGAACAGATGAAACAGAAGGAAGTAGGAAACTATGGAATCTAAGAGATGTAATGCAACAATTAAGCAGAGTCTGTATGCTAAATGAGATTTGTTGGCATATCACCGAGTAAAACGTTTTAGAAGACCCTCTGAGGGATGAACTATTCTTCATACAAGAACCATAGATGACACCGGTGCATAAATGAATTTGATAAGCATGTTGCATGAGAAGACAATGTCTGAGAGATGGCACAGCAAGACTGTCTTAACATGGCAATAATTGATTTTTTTTTTTTCCTTTTGGGAACCGAGCATAAACATAACTAACACAAGTGCTTATCCAAACTGCAATACATAATTAATTTATAAATACGAACAAATTCCCTACATTAGAATAGATAGCGTTGGCTTTCAATTTTATTTATCACACAAGGCATAATAGTTATTAGTTGATTAGTCGATTTCTAGCAAGTACAATTCTTTAAAACGAAAACAGAATACACGCTTATCCCACTGCTCCACGCATGCCTGCTACCCTAGCAACTTCTCAACAGCACTAACCATTAAGCAGCATAAAGCTCAGTTAAAACAACTTACTACCAAAAGTATCAGATTGAATGACAAAACAGAGGAGGAAGAAAACCAGCACCTTCAACTCCACATTCGGACTTTTAGGGCCTACTCAGCCTAAATCAATAACCCACGAATTTCGAGCACAATTCAAACAAAACCCAGCAAAGCCTTTACCTTGTAGTTGATGTTTTGATGCAAATGTCCACCAGACAATAAAATCCAACTCACAAATGCAAAAATAACAATATAACAATCTCGCGGAAAAGGGAAGAAAATCGAAATCGTGTAAAGGATCTACAGAACTATACCAGTGGTGCAGAGATCCGCTCAAGGGAGCCTCTTCTCTTATCGGCGGGGAATGGCGGAAAACCTAGAGGAGATGCTGAAGTATCAAGTGCAATTTACTTTTAAGAGGAAGAAATTCCACAGCGTGTTTGCCGAATCAGGCCCGACGCCTTTGGATTCTATCTTTATCGTACTGGTCGCACGCCCCAATTCCACACGTGCTCACTTGACGCGCGTTTGATTTGCCGCCAGCATCCAACCAGACGACATCGTTTAATTAGTTTTAGGAAGATCTGAGGCCCAGATTGTTGGATTGCTTTAAATTTTTTTTTTTTGGTGAAATTGTAGCTTTCAGTTTCCAAATTCAATAGTATATTATATAAAAATAAAATGGGTAAGCATCACTCGTCCATGTCTATGGCATGTTTGGTGTGATCAAATGAAAATAAGAATGGGACTTGCATAGTACCATAGCACATTTTAATATATTTGATATGAGGCACTAAATAATACTTAGGATTGTAAAAAAAAAAAATTATGAGAGACTTAGGATTCTAAAATGACCACCAGATGGGATTGCACAATAATGCCATCCCGCATGGTATTAGAAAATCATTCATGGGATTGAATATTATTGTTACCAAATTATTCTTATAATATTTCACAAGCTTCTATTTTTATTTATTACTGTAAGAGGCTATATAAGTCTTTGTATAATTTATGCCTAATTATAAAATAAAATTATTAAGGTAATTTTAAAGTTTTATTCTCACACCCACTCTCATTTTCGCTCCCAGTCTCACACTCAATCCCTTAAAATTCAGGGCCCGCACACCAAAAAATGCGTAAAACTATCAAAAGAACAGATAGCATCATATTACCATATTTGGCAACCTTCGATGATACGATGTTTGCTGTAAAATAGATTTACTTAGGGGCAATTATGACCTTACACAGTTTATTCCTGTATACCAAGGATAGGAGAACTCACGTGGTATTTCAGTATATTGTTCCATTTCCCTTGCATTCCATACCTTTGAAACTTAAGCTTCATTTGGATTAGCGATACATTCAATCTGACTTTTAAAACAGTAAAATTGAATAAAAGTTAGATTGGGTAATGAAATTTTTGTTTGGATTGAATTTTATAAAAATTAGTTTTTAAAGTAAAAAAAATTATATAGATGATGATTGAATAAATAATACTCCTCCGGTCCTAAATATATGACCTATTTTTTAGTGTAAAATGAGTCATATATTTAGGACCGGAGGAGTATTGTTTGTAGAATGAATAAAATGGATATGACTTTTATTAAAAATTGCAAAATGATTAAAAATATAAATTTAAAAAATATAATAATTTTAAATTCTTATAATATGAAGAAGTTATATTTAATGAATAAAATATGTTTAAATCAGAAGTCGTAAAAATTTGTTAACCAAATAATATTACATGGGTGTTTGGCTAATCTCAAAAGTGCTTCTCAGAAGCACTTTATCCTAAATCGAAGCAAACTCCTCCACATATTTATTTTGTATACTGTAAAGCATTTCTGAAATTATGGTTTTGTTCTTATCCAAACACCTCCTACATAATTAATTGAATGATATACTCTGCATAATTTACGTAAATAAAAAATAATATTAAAATTTAAAAATATTATAAAAAATGTTAAAAAGTATTTTCACTTAAAAGAATATTACAAATAAATAACTAAAAATTGATTGGAAAGCATAAGAAATATATATAGAGAAGCATAAAAATAACATAAACATGAGGGTAAAAGTGTTTTTTAATTCTAAAAAATTACTTCTACATAAGTTATAAGTAAGTTTTGAATGCTTTTACAACTGTGCTTAAAAAATAGTTTTTGACCCACAAGTTAGATTAGCTAAAAGCTGTGACAAACAGCTTTAAAATTTACAAACTGACTTATTACACATATAAACTACTTTTTCTTCCCTCATATGCCTTACCAATCAGGCACATGTTTGTTCGTGTTGTGTTTTTTCACAGTTTACTAAGATGACTCTTTAGTTCCTCCCGGTTCTAAGTAGAGCTAGTAATATGAGTTAAACTAATAAGTCCAACCCGCTAACCCCTAAAAAATAACAAGGTTAAGGCTGGCTAAAAGTTAACTTGTTAGTAAACAAAGTTTTTCAACCCACGCCACCTAACCCGTAACCTATGGTTGGCAAGCTAACCTGCTTTTTTTTTGTATTTTTAAAATTTTATTAATCATTATATATTATTATATTTTATATTCTATCCAAAAAATTTTAAAAAATATCTATATCATTTATTTATTTGGTATTTTTAATCAATTATTTGAAGGAAGGATAAAAACTTCATTATATTTTTGCATAAAGAAGAAAATTTAAAAAAAATAAAAAGAAAATAATAGTTTGCAGGTTAGCTGTCAACCCACCACGACAGGTTAGGGTTGACCAAAAGCCAACTTGTCATTACACGGAGCCTTTTTAATCTGCACCATCTAGTCCTAACTTAGGGTTTGGCCCATATTGTCACCTCTCGTTCTGAGCCCTATGCAATTTCTTAAAAAGTTATAGAAACTAAAGCTTAAAAATATATTTTGCTCTGTTATGCTTCCCATCGCATGATAAGACAAATAACAAAAGGATTGAAGTGAAGAAGGGCCAACAAAATGAAAGAAAATTGGGCCTACATAGTAATGGACATTGGACCAGTGTTGTGGGTGCTTCTTGGACATGAGTTTGGATCAGCGTGACCTTTAGCCCAATTCTAGAAGGCCCAAACTACTTAATGACCCCTACTGAACGAGTTTTTGCCTTGGCTAGTGACACAATAAGCCGACTAATTCTCCTTCTTTTTATTTTCTTGCTTGAAACATTTATAGGTGATAATGCGGGTTGGCCTGCCGATTACAGGCCAACCTGCCAAAAGTTGAGAGACCGGTAGGCCAGGCTTAAATGGAGTACTATTCGTGGGCTAGTAAAATGGCAGCTCGAGCTCCTCATAGTGGGCCAAGCCACCCATTTTATTTATTTAAATTTTTTTTTTTTCATTGCACATGTTCTTCCTTTTAATTTTAAAACTTATTGGCTACAATTTTCACGTTCATCCCTGTCGATAAAAGAACATCTCGGCCTTATCCAGAAGTTCATCCGAGGAATTGATGTTGGAGGCAACATCTTTGTCTTGATGCAATGATACGCTACTTCTCCTTCCACGACATGCAAGAGAGGATTAAGGTCAAATTGGAGCTCAAGCAAGTTATGATGCCCGTTGTTCTTGAAGAACTCGTGGTAGATTCAAGCATCGACATCGGAACTGCCGCCATGCTTGGTGGGAAGCAGCCGAATTTAACGATGAGATGAATTATGAAGATGAGGCTGGATAGGCAGAGAGAGAATTGGTCGATGAAGGAGAGAGCGAATGGGTTTGAATGGTTCACCAGGAGAATCAGATTGGAAGGGGAGTGACGAAGAAGGATCAAGAAAGAGGAGGGAATGCGGAGCGTTTTGGACTCGGGTGAGCGACTGACGGTGGTGAAGCCTTGCTCCTCTTCAGATTTACCCCGGTCCCCCGGGGGGACTTCAGCTCGGTTTTGGTGGTCACGAGCTAAAAAACGTTCATTTCAAAACGATCTTAATTTTTATCAATCCAAACCGTCGTATCATCAACTATGCTATACCGGTTGAATAACAACAAAAAAATCCCCTTAGAACATCAATCATTAGTAATTCATATAAATTAATAAAATTAGTTAAATTAATTACTCATAGTAACATACTTTAAAATGACCTATTTTTCAATTACTCCATCAGGTTCAAAATATAAGCTAAATCTTGTTGGAAGGATGTGATTTTTTTTATAAGATAACATTTACTTTTATCTAAATATTTAATTTTTTTTAATTTTACCCACATATATTTTCTTTCCTCTTTGATTTACTTATTATATCTTTTACTTATTCTCTTTATTAATCAGTGCATATTTGAGGAAACAAATATTTATTTTTTTGAACCAATTTAAACTAATTTTTTGATAAACATAAATAGATCAAGGTTATCGTATTAATATCAGAAAAATTACTTTTAATACTTCTTCAATGTATACAATCACTAAAAATCTTATAAGGAAATTATAAATTATGTTTAGAATCAAAATAAACATCTCACTTAGCAATTGGCAAAAAAAAATCTCAATTAACACTTACATTTAATATGTGAGTGAGTAATACTAATGATGATAGGGTTATCTAGATCTGCAATATTATGCAATGACTCAACGCGACTTTCACCACAGGAAGAAAAAAACTCAAGTCGGCAAGCCACTTGACCATATAGCCTTTTTTTTTGAATGGCTGAATAAAATCATTGAATTTCTTGTGGCTTTATTTTTGGCACCAAGTCACTTGTTTCTCTTTTTTTTGGTTCTTGGTCAGAAAATCACGAGTTTCTCTTGATAATTAATTTCTTAGTTAAATCCCAACATTACCATCACATGAACTTTGCTTTAGCAACATGCAAATTTAACAAGTGACCAAAAGTTCATCCTAGTCACCCATTTGCAACTCTCATTTAATTTTAGCCATTCACTTCTCCATCCCTTAGAAACATCTAGAAGACAATACTCTTTCCAATCCTAAACATGAAAGTTAATACAAAAGTTATTTTAATAGTACATATAAGACTCTGATCTAATTTATTTTTTAAATTTATATCCCTGCGTGTATGTAATAAAAGATTTTTAATTTCCACAGGAGTAGTGATCAATTAAAATGACTAAAAAGGTATCTCAAAAACTCGACACATTTTTTTTTTTCAAATAACTAACTTAACTACTTTTTTTAATATTATTAAATTAGTTATCTAACTCCCATATATAGAACCAAAGTGAGTATATGGTTATTTTTTGTCTATTTTCATGGCATTAGGTAATCATAGGATTTTCAAATTTAATGAGATTAATATATAGTCAAGAACCTTCAGCGAAAAAAATACTAGTGTATAATTAGGAATCAAAATATGTAGACTTGCGATCAAACTCACAAACAAGAACTAGTTTTCAATTGATTTCATTAATACTATAAATTATATCTTTACTTTGCATAGTTATCATTTTTTTTATCTCGATGTCTATTTATACCATCTCTCTTTCTCTCCCACATACATATATACTCTCACAAAACTGTTTTATTTTTATTATCTCATCTTATTCCCATCAATGGAGAACATAGAAACAAAGATAATCAAAAAATGGATATAGACTATCTTATATATATTTCTTAACCTATTTTGGATACTAATCCATAAAAAGGAAAATGCTAAAATTCATTTGTCACTTGCCCAAAAAAAAAAAAAAGCCCGTGAACTCTTAAAAATTGAGTGTCATATTATCCCAAAGGTTCCATCAAGCCTGTCTGTCATTAACATGTTAACTTTAAAAGAAAGCATTGTTGTACATCACTTGTTTAAAAAAAAAACTGAAATTGCAAATAAATAAGAGACAAAATATAAAAAATATAGCTTTAGAAGAAAGCAAATGTAATTAACATTCAAAATCGAGTTGGATATAAGCAAAAGTTAAGAAGAAGGATAGTTAATCCCCGATCCACCCCTTTATAAAAGAATTTTTTCAGTATTTTGTTGGCCCCTTATTAAAAAAACAACAACCTTTTGTCTAGAATATTATTAAAAACCAACCGATTGTTCGATCAGCGTATTTTTTAAAAGAAATTTATATTATTTTAAGAGTACTCTCTCCTATCAAAATATATTATGCCTTTTTTTAAAAAATTGCTGATCCGTAATACACACAAACATATAAATATATATATATATATATAAGTTACTTAAAGAGTTATTAATCATCATTTTTAAATTTTTATTCTTGATACATGTTAAATAACAAGAAACAAAGAGAAGGGAGATGAAACACATTTGAATAGGGGCAAAAATTAGAAAAATTTTCAACTTAGCACAAATATAATGAGTTAATCATTCTTACTTAATTTTGATGAGGTGATTGAAAGTGATTTATACTCTCTTAGTTTTAATTATAAGTTATTTTAACATATTTTACACAAACTAAAAAAAACTTAAACTTCATTAACTTTGTCTTAAAATTCAACAACTTTTCAATTTTATTTCTATTTAATATACTTTTTTGGTCCTATTTATAAAATAGAGAAAGAAAGTTTTCTTTAGTCATATTTATAAGTCACTTTATTAAATTCTTAATGTGAATGTACTATTTTATCCTTCATTTATTATAGGATATGTAATTATCTTTTTTGAAATATGCATATATTAAATGTAGGTGAAGTTGAAAATTTTTTATATTTTAATGGAGAGTTAATATATTTTAAGGTTTTTTTTGTTGCATGTGTAAAATATGTTGGAAGTACCTTATAAATAGGACCAGAGGAGTATATTATATCCCATGAAAATAAAATTTATATAATAATAAATGAAGGGTAAAATTGTACTCCTTCAATTCCTTTTTATAAGTAACAACTAACATCCCCTCTTGTCCCTAAATATATACAATATTGACAAGTTGTCTTAAATTTTTATAGCAAATTTTCTATTTTGCCCCCATTAGGTACTTATTTTAATATTTAATATGTTTATTGTCTCATTTCCCAAACATAATCTCTTTCCATCACACATTCTCTCTCTTTAATAATTCTCTTTGTTATACTCCTCTGGTCCTATTTATCGGACAGAGAGTGAAGGTATTTTTTGGTCCTATTTAGGGGGCACTAAGAGAAATTTTTTGTATGGATATATAATTTTACCTCTCATTTATTATTGTGTTGACTTTGTTTATATAAGGCATAATGTATATTAAATAGAGATAAAGTTGGAAAGTCATTAAATTTTAAAGGAGAATTAATGAAACTTAAAGTTTTGCTTTGTCTGTGTGAAACATATTAGAAGTGCCTTATAAATAGAACCAGAGGAGTAATAATTTTCTTATTCTCTTTCTTATACTCTCTTTCCCCCATAGATAAGGGTATTTTGGAGAAAAAACTCTAATTTTTACCTATTCATTATCTTTAATTAACTTTTTAATCTACGTAATGAAGTCCTGTGTTACTTATAATGAGGGACAGAGGGAGTATATTTATATAAAAGATTTCTCTCTTCATCCTATAAATAAACCCAAAAATTCCTTCTCTTTTCATCCTTATAAGTAGGGCTGGGGGAGTATTTTAAACTAAAAGAAATATTTATATGGTCAAAATAAAATCCATATATAACATTTTTTTGCCCAACCATATAACTTAAACTATATCTTTTATTTTTAAGAATTGTTATTCATGATTATAAAGGAAAAAATCGTTGTGAGATATCATGAAAAAAAACATAAATATTAAAACTTGTTATTAACTCGTTACATATTTTTTATAATTAATTTTTGCTTGTCTTGAGGAGAGTAATCAATAAGAAGAAAAAGACCAATTGGGGGGACATGTAAATGCAGAGCTAAAGTGAAGTAGTGAAGTACAGCTGGGAGAAGAAAAAGACAAAGTGCTATAAGTGGGAGGAGTTGAAGTGCGTGTACGCAGCTAACTTCTCTTCAGTCGTTTAGTAGTACTAAAGTGGAGAGAATCGAAGGAATAAAAATTCTGAAACCAACTAAATGTTTTGACTTTGGACCCCAAAATAAATAATGCCGCAAATTAGGACATGTTTCACCCTCACACACTAATTACTACTCCTCGCATCAATTTAATCAGAAGAGTAAATAAATTAATAATATAAATTAACACATCAATGTAAATGTAGTATTTCCCTAACACTTCAAATACGCTCCATAAGCTTTTACTCCTATTTTTATGGGTAGAAGCATATTGATTTAACATATATAAAATAAATTACATTATCTATGTTTCCTCTGTATTTCTCTAGTCTTATTTATAAAATAAAAGGATAAGTTGTTTTTATCTTGTATATAAATTACGTCATTAAATTGTTCATTTGAATATATTATTTTATCTTTTATTTATTATTGTGTAGATTTTATATTTTTAAGATAAATTGAATATTAAATAGAAGTAAAATCGTATAATTATTAAATTCTAAGATAGAGTTAACATGTGTTAATAGTTTTTTTTATTTCAATAATTTATAAATAAGATTAGAAGAGAGTAATACCATGTAATAAAAAAAGTTCACAGCTTTATTGATGTCCCACATAATTTTATGTAATTTTTAGCTTAATCTTTATGAAGATATTTAATATGTATATCTAAGTTACAAAATAAGAACTTGAATACAAAATAAAAACGAGAGGTATATAGAAGTGATTTTTCATGGAAAATTATTCGTCCTTACAATAAATAGATATTAAATGATTGAGTACAGCTATAATTAATCCCCACCGGAATTTCTTTTTCTTTTTTCCTGTTCCCCAATTCATTCCATTTTACACGAAAAGGTGGCAGCATTAGAGTCGTCAAGATGTCATTTAGAACTTGCGTTGCCGTTTGTATATATAACAGCCGGTTTCTAGCGTTCGGTGCTTCTCACTCATCACTCATCGTCTTCCTCTATCCTCATCATCATCAACCTCACCCTGTGTGCTTCATTCTGCCAACCCAGAAAGCAGCCATTATTGATCCATCCATCCTCCTCCTCCTCCTCCATTAATGGCGATGGCCTTTTCTCTTGAGCCACTACTCATTCTTCTTGGGCTTTGCGTCTCAGTGACGACGATGTTGAGCAGTGAAGCGCAGCCGCTTCGAGTGGGGTTCTACTCAGATACATGCCCGGACGCAGAATCCATCGTGAGCACCGTCGTAAACGGCGCCGTTTCTTCCGACCCCAACATGGCCGCCATCTTGCTCAGACTTCATTTCCATGACTGCTTCGTCGAGGTCAGCTCCAATATTATTAATATTTCAATTAACCCTTTTTTAAAAAAATAATTTATAATTTTTTCCTTAAACTATCTGTTGATCATATTTATAAAAGAACGAATTTTATGAATAACTTAACCAAAACTCAGAAAATGAATCTACTATAATTCAGGATCTGGCTCTTATGTTATCTAAAATGTGTAAGGGGTGTGATGGCTCGATACTGATAGAGAATGGGGAGAAATCGGAGAAGAACGCGTTCGGGCATCAAGGAGTGAGAGGATTTGATGTGATTGAGAGAGCCAAGGCGCAGTTGGAAGCCACGTGCCCTGGTGTCGTTTCGTGCGCTGACATTGTCGCTTTGGCTGCCAGAGACGCCGTCTTCTTGGTACTCCCTTTTTTTTTTTTTTTTTTTAATTTCTTCTCACTTCCTCTACTTCCGTAACCTGCTTGTCGTATCACAACCTTTCATGGGACTTCGTTCAACGACGTATCATAGAATTCTGAGAAACGAAGAAGCAATTAATATATGGGTATATGTGCTGGTCAAATACAAGTTACGAGTAATATCTTGCGCCAAATATTCAAGATATGACAAGTTACGTTAATTCTTCATTCATAGGATATTCAAGATAATATAACAAGTCAGTTAAACTTTCCAACAAATTAAGGAACATTAGTTATAGAAATTAGCAAGTTACTCCCTCCATTCCTTATTATAAGAGACGAATAACTAAATTACGTTGATCAAAAAAACAGTTAAAATTAGTTAAGAACAATTAATGTGTAAAAAGTATAATTTTTTTTCCAAAAATGCCCTCATTAATAAGGAGAGAGAACATGAGATAGAACAATAGTAAATTCTTAAAAGAAAGAGAAGTGGGAAGGAGAGAGAGTGTGAATTGGAGACAATAAATATGGGTAAAATAGGAAATCAACACAAAAAAGTAGAAACAACTTTTAAGTGTCTCTTATATTTATATTTAGGAACATGCTATAAGCATCAAATGTCTCTTATAATAAGGAACGGAGGGAGTATCTATTTCATCTCTCTTCTGTATTCAAAACTCTCTTTTCTAATTGTAATGAGGTATAAAAGTAAAAAACAAATCATTAATTATTCTGTTAACTTTTTATATTTTAGACCAAAATTTTCTTTTGTAATAGAAGAGAGTATAATATATATATATATGGAGCATGGACGAGAAATGAATGGATGACGGGTTCAGTTAACAATAGACGAATAGTATGTCGTATTACGATACATATTTATATTATGTGTAGAGGATAATATTAAGATTCATGGTATTTAATATGACTTATGATAAGGGATAATATATATATATGTGTGTGTGTGTGTGCAGGCGAATGGGCCATCATACAGAGTAGCAACGGGAAGAAGAGATGGGTTGGTGTCCAACGTATCGCTGGCAGATGATATGCCGGATGTCTCGGACTCCATCTTCCAACTCAAAGCCAAATTCCAAAACAAGGGACTCTCTGACAAAGACCTTGTCCTTCTTAGTGGTATATTTATCTCTTCCTCTCTCTACTCCTTCGTTCATTCCTAAATATAATATTCCTCCTGTTCTTAATATAAAACCCATTTAACTAATTTGATTAGATTAAGAAAGTTAGGTAAGTTAGTTAATTATAAAAAAATGACACATTTTTCCTAAAACACTATAATCATCTTTCTTAATATCCCATCTCCCTCTTCTACTTGATTATAGTTGAAGGAGTATTCATAGGGGTAATTTAGAGAAATTGATAAATATGATAAATGGGTCTTATATTTAGAATCAAAACCAACTCAACAATTGGGTCCTATATTAAGGACCGGAGGAGTACATCATTTATTATAACAATTGGTAAAAAAAAATTTCTATCTAAAAATTTTTTAGTAAAAAAGAATGATATGTTTTTATAGACGAAAAGTATGGATGCTAACATTTGGCACCTATAAAATATAGGGAATATCGCATAAAAAACTTAAAAAATTATTAAATCTCAAAGTAGAATTGTTTTATATATTTTAACGGGTTTTCACTACATTTTGACTTGAAAAAAATATTAATTTTAAAGAAATTCTTGATTTGAAATATAATAATTTTCAGGTTGCTTTCGTGGGATTTTTCCTAAAGTATATAAGTATTTGAATTTATGTTTTTCAGAATCATAAAATTTTCAAACAGGCACTTCTTATCCTGATTTTTTCTAATTAAAATATATTTTAAAAATATTATTATTTAATATCTTTGTTCTCTAATTCTTAATAAATGATATGTTTAAAATATTCTTATTTAATTAGAAACACATTGAACAATAACAAAAAAAAAAATTCAAATACAGACAAGCTACTTGATCCGCTTAATTTTGGTAACTATGTAGTATTAATTTTGGTAACTAAGGGCAGATGGAGAGAGTATTATATATATATATATATATATATATATATATATATATATTGAATGTTAGTTGGAGACATCCATAACAATTCACCAATAGAGTTTTTTTTTAATCTTGAATTGTGTGTTATTTCATGATCTGTGGTTTTTTTTTTTCCTAAATGTAAATATTTGACATAAATGTCCATAAAATTATAGATTTACTATTAGAACAAAAAAAGTGCAAACTAACTAATGAAAATGGGTTCAATTGATAAAAAAAATATTATATTTATGTTTCACAAAGATATTAATTCAAACCGTTCTACTTTTTGGAATGAATAAAATGTAATGAACAGTTTAAATACCAAAAAATTCATTTAATTTCAAGATCATTCACACATTTTTAGTATCTCAATCATTTAAAATGATTTTAAGATTAAAATTTTCTTACTTCAAATAATGTGAACTTAATTCACATTCATATTATAATTCACATTCCATTTCTGGCTGGCAAATTTGAGAAGGTAAAGTTATATGAATTAAGCTATAATCAGAAAAATTACAACACATAGGCTAAGCCAAGCCACATATATGCCAGTCTTAGTCACACTGTTCTATATATAATAACTGAAACAATTAATTACTTACATTCATAGAAACCAAGGGAATTTTTAGTCATTGAATCTCATGTAAGACTTCATTTTAATTGGGAAAATATCATTAATGTGATTATGGTAGGTTACTTGTCAACAACTTTATCTATTTATGGAGATTTCTTAAATGAAATTCATTTTAGTTATAATAAGTAAATTACTTAAATTAATCATAGCTAAATATATCCATCAAAATGAGTTTGTTGCGTAGCATCTGTCTGTACTCATGAATTAAAAGATCATATATATGGCACCATACTTTTTTTAGACATCTAGTTGAAAAAACGATGTCAGGATTAATGTTTTTTAAAAAAATGAAAATTTTTATGTAGTCCTAGTATAAAAAAAGATCTATCTAAGTCCATTATTTTGTCATGTATGTAAGTTAATTTGATATTGCAAATTACATATTCACATTCTTGTCTACAATATGCGTATTTAAAGAGTATAGATGATGAAAAAACAGTAGCATAAATCAAGGTTAATATAAATATTGATAGAATTTTAACAGGAATCAAATTTAAAAACTAAAAATAATGAGGAACTAATTTTCATTATTTTTAAAATTATCTTGATTTATTGATAAAAATTGAACATTAATTAGACAAGCTCTAGAATTTTTCAGCAACCTAGATTAACATGTCAATTCATAAATTGTACAATTGTTTAACTTAACTGCATTATTTTCATCACTTCTAATTAACAACTCACTTAATTAACTCCTCCTTTTCAGCTGCACATACAATAGGCACCACAGCCTGCTTCTTCATGACCAGAAGACTCTACAACTTCATGCCGGGAGGCGGATCCGATCCATCAATCAGCCCAGAATTCCTGCCGGTGCTGCAATCGAGGTGTCCGAAGAACGGCGATGTCAACGTCCGGCTAGCGATGGATGAAGGGAGCGAAAGAGAATTCGACAAGCACATATTGCAGAACATAAGGCAAGGATTTGCAGTGTTGGAGTCCGATGCAAGGCTGGCTGATGATGAGAACACAAGAAGTGTGATTGACTCATACTTTGATCCAATGTTTGGAGCATCTTTTGAGTCTGAGTTTGTTGATTCTATTGTGAAGATGGGTCACATTGGGGTCAAGACTGGTTCACTTGGAGAGATTAGGCGTAAATGTTCTTCATTTAATTAATTAATTAATTCAGCTTCATTAAGATCTATAATTTTCTCTCTAGTTTTCTAGGTTGAAGAGGATTTAAGTTGATGATTATGGCCTTATTTTTAATTATTATTATATGTATATACAGTTCAAATTAATCTTGTACCTTTGAGGGGTGTTTTATTTACTAGAGATAGGTAATATTATTGGAGTTATCATAAATTATTGTAACATTTCTTGAGAGACCTAAGTATGTCTATTTTGCTTGTTGATAGAAATAATCATGTTGATACTTTTGCTTCTGTTTCATATCTCTCACAGAGAAATAGGCGTAAGGAAAACAAAACTCAAAAGTTGTATTTTAAGAAAAGGAAAAAATAAAAATAAATATTTAGTGCTTTAATTTTATATGACATTTCATTTTGATTCCTTAAGGATAGGAGGAGTATAAAGTGTACTTCTAATCTATTCATCTTAATGTCGTTAACAAAAAAATATGACATTGGAATTTTAAACGCTCATAAAATATATTCTCAAATGCTTAATAACATTTGTTAAAAAAATTATTTGAAACAATAATGCTGTCAAGATTAAGATTACAAGACTGAAAAGATACCTCATTAAATTAAGGTATTAAGCTAAAGCCTTATATAAATTTAAAGTTGCGCTTGGAAAATTATTGGTATTTTTCCCTAGACATAACATGAAGAGATTTAGGGCAATTGCAATAAGATCTCATGAAATAAATATATTCTCAAAAAAGTATCATGACAACTGAACTGTAATGACATGTTTCAAAAAAATCTCAAAAAAAATTTTAATTGCTCACTTATTATTAAGATTTTTTTTTTACAATTAAAATTTTTTTTTTGTAAATATATTCCTTTCATAGGATCTTATTACAACTCTCCCGTAAGTTGAATTAGCAATAACTCCTTTGAATTTCTTTCAGCATACAGATTTGAGAGAATTGAATTTGGGGAGATTATTTTTTAAGAAAACGAATTGAAACTTTAAAAAATATTTTAAATTTAATTGAACCATTAGAAAATATACAGAACAATGGGAGATATCATTTGAGCAATATTGACCGTGAATTAGAAAACGAAAGAATCTTTTTGAAGCATTTGAAAAGGTCAGAGAAAGACAAAAATGTCTATGAGATGCCACTAAATATAGAAGAGGAAGCCAAGAAAATCTCTCAAAATTACCAAAATTTAATGCTGAAAAGCAGGGTCATATGGTTGGCTAATCTGAAATTGATGAGAAAGTAATAATAATATGCTTTGACCCAATAAAGAAAAACAGAGGAAAGGAGGGGAAACAGAAAAAGGAAAGAGCTGTGAAGATTGAAACACTCCAATTCTCTTTCCTTCTTCTTTCTTTCCTCTGATTAATTAAGGTTTGAAATTAGCAGAAATTGCAGAAAACTTGGGCTGTTCTTCTGAGTTTTTGTCTTTGCATGCAACAAGGATACGTAAAATAAGGAGCGATTTTCATGGCACCTTGATCCCTTCACAAGTCCCACTGCCCCTTTGATCTCCTTTATATTGATTCAGGTATCTGCTCTGCATTTTGGATTTGAACCAGACTAAGTTTCATGCATTTGGATGAAATTTAAGACGAGTCATATTGTTCATGGCTTCTTGCAATTAGTTCATCACTTCCTACAAAAGGATACAATAACTTGTAGACGTTATAGATATATTGATATTGATATTAATTTTTTAACGTACGATTGTCTTAGGGAAAGAAAGTGACTTTCTTTTTTCTTTTTAACAATAGTCATTGTTCAATAAGTTTCATTTATTTTTTTGAGAAGTTTACTGAAAAAATTCTTATTGCAAAATTTATTTTTCAAAAGTGACTGAAATTTTTTTAAGAACTCAGGCACAACCTCTTTTCAACGGATGCAATTCTTATTCAATTATACATAATCTATTTTTTTAACTATGTGCAAAATAAAAGCAGCATTTTTATATAATTGAAGACATGCTACACAGTTAAAAAATTGTTAGGCAACTTCAGGCAATAAATTTGGTAACTAGGAATTTATCAAAAAATTTTCCTTTCATTTTTATAATTTTTCGGCTACAAGTATGAGTGTCATTTTCAAATTTTTTTAATGCTTAAAATCAGTTTTTTTCCTTTTTTGGTCTAAAGAATGAGACACCTTTCTTTTCAACTTCTTGTGATTTCTGTCATGGACTGGCAATAATTTTCAGTAGCCTCATTTTTTTTTTTTAAATCATCTATTCTCAAAGTAAAACACACAATGTGACATGAGATTGTTCACAGGTGACCAGAAATCCAGAAGCCATTGATAGCGCCCCAGGCAGATCGCGTTGACCTTTGACACATGACGAGCAAGATCTGGAGAGGGGCATTAGGGGCAGTAAAGGATCAAACAAGCATCGGTTTAGCCAAGGTCGGAAGCACCACCGCCCTCGCCGACCTCGACATCGCCATTGTTAAGGCCACCAAGCACAACGAGACTCCCGGCGACGAGAAACACGTCAGAGAGATCCTTAGCTTGACATGTTACTCTCGCTCCCATGTCAGCGCCTGCGTCTCCGCCATCTCCCGCCGTCTCAGCCGCACTCGAAGCTGGACCGTCGCCTTAAAGTCCCTGGTCCTCATCGAACGGCTCCTCCAAGAGGGTGATCCCGCTTATGAGCAGGAGATCTTCTTCGCCACACGGCGGGGCACTCGGCTTCTCAACATGTCGGATTTTCGGGACAGCTCGACGGCTAACTCGTGGGACTTCTCGGCGTTCGTGAGGATGTATGCGTTGTACTTGGACGAGAGGTTGGAGTATAAGATGCAGAATAAGAGAGGAAGAAGAAGCTCGTTCGGTTACGAGGAAGAAGACGAGGATGTAAGGGACCATAGGGATAGATACATGCTTACATATAGGGACAGAGACAGAGACGGAGACGGAGACAGAGACAGAGACAGAGACAGAGAGAAGAACAGATCAGAAAGCTTGGGTAGGTCTACGCCATTGCATGACTTGAGGACAGAGGCATTGTTCTCTAAGATGCAACATTTACAGATACTGCTTGAGAGGTTCTTGGCTTGTCGTCCCTCAGGTTCGTTTATACTTCATATTGCAACTTTGCATGAACATGTTAACAATACTCGCTTGGTCTTAAGTTTAGAAACTAAATAATTAATAATTAATTTTTAGCTATTTTAAAAATTGGTTAAGTTAATTATTTATTAAAAAATATTTATTAACTTTTCTTAAATGCCCCCTTTTAATTATTTGTATTGAAAAGTATTCTATTGATGAAAAGCGCCATTACTATGCATATGCAATAGAGCTTAGGAAATAAAATAATAAATTTGGAGGACAAAGTAGATTAATATTTTACATTTAGCATCAAAACAAACTTTTGTATTAGCTATTATGTTTAAAACCGGAGGGATACTATTTTTCTGCATCGAATTTCAATGATATTTATGTAGGACATTTTGAATTAGTGTATAATTGTTATGCTGTATCTAGTATAAGAATGAACTAAGCATCTTAGACTTTTGATCTGCATATTGCATCTTTAAGAATGTAAACTAAATCAGATTCTCATTCTTCTTCTTCCTGTAACAGGAGAGGCAAAGAACCATCGAATTGTGATGGTGGCTCTCTACCCCATATTGAAGGAGAGTTTCCAAATATATTTTGAAATGACAGACATTCTGGGGATCTTGGTTGACCGTTTTGAGGATATGGAGGTTCAAGATTGCATCAAGGTTTATGACATTTTCTGTCGTGTTGGAAAGCAGTACGATGAACTAGACCTCTTCTACACATGGAACAAGAGTATGGGGATTGCACGTTCTTCTGAGTTCCCAGACATCGAAAGGATCACCTCCAAGAAACTCGAGGTCATGGATGATTTCATTAGAGAGAGAACCGCCATGGAACACTCAAAAGGAAATGCAAAACCCCAGGAAGAGAATATTGCAGAATCAGAAAAACCAGAGCCACAAGAGGATATGGATGCAATCAAGGCCCTACCACCACCAGAGACAAAAGAGGAACCGGTAGAAGAGCCCAAAATTGAGGAACCAAAAGTTGCACAAGCAGAAGGTGACTTGTTGCACTTAGGAGATGATGATATGGTGAAAAGAGAACAACATGAGGATAAACTAGCCTTGGCTCTGTTCGACGGCGCAGGACCGACGACTTCCGAGTCATCTAGTGCCACACTAGCTCTTCCATGGCATGCTTTTGGAGATGGTTCAGATTGGGAAACAACATTGGTGGAATCAGCTAGCAAATTGTCAAACCAGAAGCCAACATTAGGAGGCGGATTTGATGCGTTATTGTTGGATGGGATGTATAACCAAGCAGCCACAAATTCAGCCATTCAAGGGCATGACTATGGTGCCGGGAGTGCAAGCAGTGTGGCTCAAGGTTCAACCGGAAGGTCCCCGATGCTTGCCCTGCCAGCACCACCGGCTTCTTCAGGATGGGTTAATAATGCAGACCCATTTGCAGCTTCAATGGCAGTGGCACCTCCGGCTTACGTTCAAATGTCGGAGATCGAGAAAAAGCAGAGATTGATGATGGAGGAACAACTATTGTGGCAGCAATATGCAAGAAATGGCATGCAGGGACATGCTGGGATGGCAAGGATGCAACCTAGCAATTACATGGGAGGGTATCCAACAAACTTTGGGAGCTATTATCACTAATTAGGATAAATTTTCCAATGGTTTGGACCTAATTATTACACCCTTTCCTGCTTCTCCTTATGATGTTGTAAACATTCCGGCAGGACTCAGGACCAAACGCGACGAATGCCATTGTAATTAAGTAGTGCCATTAAATTATCACTCCAAAATTTTTTTAAAGCGGTGCTCATTTCCCTTTTTTTCCCTTGCCAATCTTCCAGTCTTCATTTTGAATAAAATGACTCGAATCAAACAAAACAACTAACTGAACGCATCGGAACTCTCCCAGAGTAAATGGAGCATCTTGAACACTTCCTTTCAGAAAATTATGAAGAGAAAGTGATAGACCACAAAAACCCGCCATTACAAGTAATGTAGTGACAAAATTAGCAGCCGCAGCCGAAACTACAGTTCACGAGCTTTGCCTTTAGCTAAAGAGCAAACAACTTTCAGCTCCAATT